TGAACTTCTTACTCTTATTCTAAACTTATCTGAACCATTCCCCATTATATACGGACTGCTTGTCATTTTCACAATTTTGCTTGCATCAAAGTTAATACAAATAATGGATTATATTTGGTCATCAATATCAAGTTACAATTCCTGGAATATAGGAAATGAAGAATTAGCTCCATTAGAAAGAGGCATTTGTAGAATGAAATAGATGAACAACTAACATCTAAATGAATGGAAAATCAAATCTAAACTTTGATGTCATTTGTATATAAAAATTTATTGCTATACGTATGTTACTTGGGAACTGTTTGAGGCATGTCATTATATGATTTAGTCCGAATTGTTTGTCTTATGAGTAAATTATCCTTTAATGTTATAGAAAGTGGTAATTCTATTAGTCAATTTATTTGAATTTATATAAACTTCGGATCAATATGATAGTCTAAATGTTGGTTTTATTCTCTTTACTGGAAAAGCCTACTGTATTTGTCTTTTTATTTTCAGTTTTCCCTATGCTATGACCAATAATAACCTGTTAAGATTCTTTGTGAGATAAAGGGTTCGTTTGGATACTAGCGTGTTATGTTTCAATCCGCCATTTGTGTGAAGGAAAACGCTGGTAAAAGCAGCGGTTAGGTCCCGATCCGCCAAAATACAAACAGGGCCAAAAAGGTTCCACTTTTCATGTTTTTGAAGCATACAAAATTACAAATAGCATGACTTAACTAATTTTGTGGACATATTTGGATCTAACTCATTTTCATGGGCATATAAAATGTCAAATATGAATATGAATGACATTTGTGCCTCAAGAGTAATGTCACCAACCGATTTTGTTACTCACCATAAGTTTATCTTTACAAAATTATAATCATGAATCAAGGTTAGGCTATTTTGGGTATAAATAATTTGTTGGTGTCCACAGCTTTGTATAGTTGTACTGAATGGTTAAGTTCTTATATTGAGATGTTTCCTTCATTTATCCATCAAGAGGTATGTATTCCTCCCGTCTAGCTCCGTTAACATGACCTTCCCCTCGCCCGGCCTCTGCGATTTCCTCTACGTTCCAGCGCACCAAACTGAGCAGCATGGCTGCTAGATTAGGCATTGAGGGTCGCATTTGTCCCGCCTCGCGGGAAGCTCGGTGTGCCGCCGCCTAGGTTACTCTCAACTGTGTTTTTCCCTTCGTCACCTCCCTGCACTCTTAGTTATTTATTTCTTTATTTAAAGAGTAAATGATGTTTCCACTGCAATTGAAGCTCAATAACAGTCCTCCGCTCTTTCTGAGTCCTATAAAGCACAAGTTATTGAATCTGAAAAAGCTCTCTCAGCTTCAATGCCCCATGTGTCCTTTATAGATATGCTTCCACACTTGGCTAAGCTGTTCTTTCACTCCTCGCCAGAGTTTGATCTCTAGGTAAGCCATTTACCCCTACAATCTATTTGGTGCATGCCTTTCTTGTGTTTACTGTCTTACTGAAAATTGTTGTGGATAGTGTTTGTGAATATAAGTATTCTTCTTGTTTTAAGATATAATAACGGTGATATATGAAATTAGGTAAGAACAAGTCACTTCCCTCTCTGTGTATGATATTATTAGCTAATAGAGGCGAAATTGCATGTAGAATTATTAGAACTGCCAAAAGATTCGGGATTCGAACTGTCTCCGTCTACAGCGATGCCGATAAGTATAATCTGCATGTGAAATCCGCCGACGAGGCCGTCCGCATTGGCCCTCCGTCGGTGCTTCTGAGCTACTTGAATGCTTCATCCATTATTGAAGCTGCAGCTCGTACTGGATCTCAGGCAGTAAACTAACTTTCTGATCCCGGATTTTTTTACTAATGGTAGTACTTTGGTGCAATGCGGCTCCTTCTTACACGCCACATGTTCGCTTCTGGTTTCTTTGAATGTTTGTTTGGCCATTGGCGTGCACTTAATTGCATAGAAGGTGCTTAATTATGATAGGACACTGGTATTGAAAGAATCAGAACAATAGAAATTCAACACAATCTCCTTCAAGAAATGATGGAAGATGCAGTTTATTGAACAAGAAATCAAATCAGAATAGGAATACAAGTTGTAGACAGTTCGAGATGCCTAATCTCCCACTCCAGTCCCAACTAACAAAACAGCCTACCCCACTCTGGCTATCTCCTTCTATTTATACTCAAAGTCCACGCAGGGATAAGTCTGAACAAACTAACAGTAGGTCAAACTAACTAACTGCTTTATTCTTTCTCCTTTGATACACCTTTTTGAAGTATTTATTGGGCTGCCTCTCCTCGTGTCTATCAAATTATTTCCTGAGTACAAGGGAATAAATCCAAAACTGGTTTAGATAATAATAATAATAATAATAATAATAATAATAATAATAATAATAATAATAATAATAATAATAATAATAATAATAATAATAATAATAATAATAATAATAATAATAATAATAATAATAATAATAATAATAATAATAATAATAATAATAATAATAATAATAATGTAATGAAAACTTTTGAGGCTATTCACCCAGGCTATGGTTTCTCATTGGAAAGTACCGATTTTGCTCAACTGTGTGAAGATGAAGGCTTCAATCTTTTATCATAACAGATTCTAGGTTTTAATGTTAACTTATAGAGGCAGAAATCTATGTTTTCAATATGGAAGATTTGATTACTTGAAGCTGAATTAAAATACGTCAAAACAGTTCCCCTAGATTTTCCTCGCACTACATTTTGCACTGAAGTTAGGTTGGGGCTTAAAGGTCCAACTGAAGTTATTCTATCTCCAACACTCTGTAAAATGGTAGTTAGCTTATACATGCATTCAATAGCCTTAAAATATACAAGAATATGGTGTTATAAATAGATGTGAATTCATTTAATAAATTGCAACGCTGTAAATCTGTAATATGCTAGGAATTTTATACGGGTGCATACATTGGTGGAAGATTGACAGAAACGCATAAGCTTGCTGATAAATTGCTTTTCGAATCATAAAGCTGCAATGATTCGAAAGCAATTTATCAGCAAGCAATGATTCGAAAAGCAATTTATTGTATGTGGGTCTAAAAGAAAGCTCGCCATCCAGTACTCCAGTGTGCCAGAAGAGTTGATCGTTGAGTAGCGTGTGTAAATAGGGGAAGATGAAGTGAACGTCTAAGAGCCTTGGCACTGAGCTACCTACTACCTAGCTGTGAGGATGGGGTGAGAGCACGACCGCACAAGTGGAGAGGCAGTGAGGCACCAGACTGAAAGTATGATTTTATCTCTAACATGTATAGGTTGATTGTACTCAATTTATGATTAGGATACGGTAAGACCTGAATATTTATGTTTGTGAAATAAAGGCATCTGTGAAATAGTGGTATTTGGATGAGTTTTGCCCACAATTCAATTATACATTTATACATGTTGTTGCATCAAGAAGAATTATGGCAGATGATATGTCGAGAAAATATATAGCTTCTTTTCATAAGTTGAACCCTTTTTACTTATTTGTTTCTTAAAGGTTTCGCCAAATAGACTTCTATTTCTAAGAAACATATATTTTGTGAAAATATTTTTGAAACAAATCGTATTGGGCATTTGTTTGATCGCGCAACGCGCGTATTAAAACTAGTAATGTTTATAGCTATAAGACAAGTCGGCTAACAATTGAGCGGAATAATTTTCCCTCTCATATATAGTGTTTTAAAGTACTTCGTCCGTAACAAAAATATCTTTTCACTTTCCTTTTTCGTCCGTAGCAAAAAAATCTTCTCATTTCTAAATTTTCCCATCATACATCAATTCTTAAAACAATACATTATTACAACTACTTTTTTTTAGATTTATTCTACATTCCATCACATTATTTCACTATCTTTCCAGCATACTGCTCTATCCCGTGCATATGATCGGGTACTATACTAGCATTTCTCAAATTATAAAGAAGGTATGGGGAATTGATCAAAGTGTTAAATGTTCCAACAAGGGGTGGGCGTAACGGTTTGGTTCACCTGAACCGAACCATACCGAAGTAAACCTAACCGAAATCGGACCGTATGCAATTTGGTTTGAGTTTGATACTATTTCTTCCAAACCATATTAAACCGAAACGAACTAAAGAAATTCAAAAAAACCTTCATATATTATTAAAATTCAACAAATCCAAACCGAACCAAACAAAAAAATCGTACTCCCTCCGTCCCAGAATTAACTTCGGTTTTGACTGGGCACATAGATTAAGAAAGTGAGAAATGTGTGGTGGAGAGTTGTGCAGAGGAGAGAGAAATGTGTAAGAACGATTGTGAACCACAAATCCTTTGCTAAAAAGAGAAAGAGGAGATAAATCTGGGACAGACAAAAAAGGAAAGAACGAAGATAATTACTTCTGGGACAGACAAAAAAGGAGGTAAGAGTCAGATTGGTACTCGAAGTTGCATAAAAAGGATCAAATAAGTCTTTACTGTCCGGTGGATTTTTTTGATAATTTTTTTTTAGCATCTTATTCATCAAGTCTAGTTTACTCATACCAAATTTCAGCTAAAACTTCAATCGGGAAGGCATTCAAATGAATTCTTGAAGATAACTGCGCTTTTAACTGCGCAGATATCTTCAAGAATTCATTTGAATGCCTTCCCGGTTGAATTTTTAGCTGACATTTGGTATGAGTAAACTCGACTTAATGAATAAGATGCTCAAAAAATTTCGTCAAAAAATTCCACCGAGAACCACCCCAAATGACGACGGCCAGACAGAGCCTCCTATATAAGGACTTATTTGACCCTTTTTATGCAACTTTGAGTACCAATCTGACCCTTATCTCGACAAAAAAGTATGAGACAGAGGGAGTATGAGTTTTGTTTGGTAATAATTCTTTCCATTGATTCCAAGCAGAACCGGATCAAAATCCAGAAAAAACGGATATGGTCAGCCCCAGTTCCAGCTCTATAATTTTATATGTTTAATAAAATGTTTAATATTTTTACCGGTGCAGGTATTTAGCATCCTCTGAGCCTCCTCAGTTGAGTGAGACATTCTAGGTGACGGAGCACTGTGAAGCGAGGCAGATGAAAGAGGAGCTGAACAGCCCTGGTTCCGATGGACAAACGCAAAAGGGAATCCGGCGGCGGCTTATCCTAGCGGCGTCGGGCTTGGTGAAGGAGCTGAGGCTGAGCTGTTGGTGAAGGAAGCCAAGACAGAGAAATGGAGAAAGTAAGCATTCCATTCACTAATCAAAATCAGTTCCCACACCGACCAAGCCAGAGAAGCCAGAGAAGGAAGAAGAGAAACGTAAGCATTCCATTCACTAATTAAAAAATCAGTTCCCACACCGACGCCGGAAGGCTGAGCGACTCCTGACTGGGTCTATAAATAAACAGGTACAGTTGCAGACATACTCGCCCTTTGGGACTGACCAAGTCCCGCTGGGTTGGGCTGGCCACCCTTTGGGGCCGGCCCCGGCTCCCTCTTTGGGCGCCATTAGGCTTAGGTTAGGTAGGTAGTTAGGGCTAGGCTTAGGTTAGTTTAGGCTTAGGCTTAGTTTAGGCTAGCTTAGGTTTAGCTTTAGGTTAGGCTTAGGGCGGTGGGGGCGTTATGCTGCCTCCATGCCGTCCTGGGCCGCCCGGGGTGGCGTTATGCTGCCTCCGTGGCGCCGCGTGGCGCCAAACCCCCCGTGGGGGGGGTAGGGGGGGGGGCAGAAGCAGTATAGGGGGGAGTCGAGGGGGGGAAGAAAGGGGGGAGTCGAGGGGGGGAAGAAAGGGGGGAATCGGGGGAGAAAGAAGAAAAGGGAAAGAGAAGAAACAGGAAGCAGGGAGGGAAAGAAAATTAAGACAATAAAGTTGAAAAAGACAATAAAGAAAAGTTAATTAATTAATAAAAGAACCAAAGAAAGGTAAACAATGTGAGTGGCTTCTGATCACTGGTCATGTAGTGACCAATGTGAAAAGGTAAACATGGTTGTCCCTTTATATTTTTTCTCACTCTATCTTCACTATAAGAAAAATAAAGAGATAATTAGTTTTCTTCACCTGTTTTCACCTGCTTTTGCATTTGTAATTATTAATTTTGAGTCTGTTTTGTTTAGAAGTAGATCTAAACAAATGATGTTCTCAATTTGTTTCCTTAGACCATAAACAATCTATGGAATGAACAAAGCGAGCATTAGTAAAGGAGTTTCTTAATTAAATCAAGTTTCTGACTTTCTTTTAGGAAATTCAGAAATGGAAGAATACCGATAAGTTATGTCATGAATGGGGTTAAATCATCTAATACAAAACGGCTCTGTATGTTCTCTGTCAGATGAATGCTATTTATTTGGCTGTCTTACAGGTTTAGTAGTAATTTATGAACCACAACGCCTAAATCTTTTTCAGTTCTTGTTTTGAAGTACTGTTGTTGTGAATTACTGATTGCACTTGAGGAATTTTACACATTGATAAGAGTCGTAACTACAAAAGAACTGCTAAGTGTGATTTTCTGATATAGTGACACAGAACAAAACAGCAAGTAATTGAAAATCAACAACTTGTAATGGTAACCAAAGCTACTCATGAGTTAACCATAATACCTTCGAAGTTTAAACCATAATACTTGTAATCAACAGTAGTTTTGACATGTTCAAATTTGCTATTTACCACTTTATGCAGGTTTACACCCATCTTAAGTCTCTCATTGGACTACCGAATCAGCTGAGTGATGGCTTCTCCTGGACACTTTTGAAGTGCATCCCACATGACCAGAACAGTCATTTGGTCCAGCTGCTTCGTCCTTTTATTGCAGAATGCAACTCCAAGTTAGCAGTGGCCCTTACCATTATGGAGGAAAGTTTTCTTCCAATGGTGGATCCTAAAACGGGCACAGACATGATACCTCAAGTTATCTATAATTGGGGGTATGTGCAGACTTCGTACCATCATTCCCTCTTTATTATGTTCCAAACTACTGTCTTTAACTTTACTTCTTTGCAGATCACAGCCCGGGCGTCTGAACTACCGCGGATTTTACACTGTTGTTTTGGAAGACGACGACATTATGGTGTCCGTGGCAACAATTAGGTGACTTATAGTCCATGCTTCTTTTAATAAAGAATAATGAGAAATGCATGACTAAAAATTGTCGCTGGGATTGTAGTGTTAGTTTCGCAATGACTGTACTGATCATGCCAACGTTCGATTTTACTATGCAGTGGCTATGACGGTATTCTTGATTTCAATGATTTTGCTATAGTTATTTGAAATTATATTTTGTCCATGCCTTTTATTGTAATAAAATTACAACTGTATATAAAAAAACCTCTTACGTAGAGTATTTTGTTACTGTCTTCAAAAAGGGATGAAATGCATAGGACGTGTCTTTAGAAAACTACTAGTTTCCTACTAACAAAACTCCTAACACAATATGGACAATAATTAATGGTAAAGAAGAATTTAGTATATTTATGAGAATTCCAACAGTAGCCACCACAAAGTTTAAAACATTCACATCCCATACCAGTGGCTAGAATGTACTAGAGTTATGTTTCCCAATTTAAATGAATGAATGAACGAGATCTAACCTACCCTTCACAATGTTCTGTCTGCTCCTTTAAGATGTATATAAAAAAGAAATGTTCTTTCCTTGTTTCTCCTTGAAGTGACAGAATTTGATTTTTTTTAAACCCATCTCATGAAACAGGATCCATGGGACTAAGGTAGTGGAGTTACCTTCAATTGCAACTTGCAGCAAATCCTGCCGCATGGGAATGTGCCGCCGGCTTATGAATTGCATAGAGAAGGTATATAGAAAAGGAACGGGAAGGGGGAATCGAGGGGAATCGGGAAAGAAAGAAGAAAGGGGAAACGGGAAAGAAAGAAAGAAAGGGAAAGAGTATAAAGAAGGAACGGGAAGGGGGGAATCGAGGGGAATCGGGAACAAAAGAAGAAAGGGGAAACGGGAAAGAAAGAAAGAAAGAAAGAAAGGGAGAGAGTATAAAGAAGGAATGGGAGGAAATAGGAAGCAGGGAGGGGAAGAAAATTAAGTTATTTAGTTAATTAAGTTATTTAATTATGTTGAAAATAGAAAATTAATTATTTAATTAATCAAGTTATCTGTCAGGCACCCTTTCTAAATTACAAACTACTCTGTCAATCATTTAAAGCTGGTTACTAGTACGATTCTGAAGTATGTTAATTTCGCATCATCTACTATTGAGTTTCTTCTCTCTGGCTGTTTTTATTGGTCCATCAGTTTCACTTCCCCCCTTTACCTGTATGGTGTGTATACTATGAAGTATGTAGAGATATAATAGCCTCATAGATATTATTTTGAACTGCTGAGTGGAAAACCATTGCTAGGGTTGCATTCTGTAGGTGGCTAAGAAGCCTAAGATGACTAGGTGGTTCTATGGGGGTATACTATGTGTTACAAATGAGTGGGAATGGTGCTTACACTGAAGTGCCACAATTAAAGAAGCCGTTTCCCTATTTCTATTAGGAGCAGCGGAGGTGAAGAAAGGGGGAAAGGGAAACGGGGAAAGAGAAGAAGAAGAAGAAGAAGAAGAAGAAGAAAGGGAAACAGGTATAAGTGAAGGAGTAGAGAGAAGGAACGGGAAAGAAAGAGGAAGCAGAAAGGGAAAATTAAGACAGAGGAAGAGAAGAGAAAATTAAGTTGTATAATTTATTTAATAAAAGAACTGGGTTTCATTGAATTCATAATAACTTTAGGTTAGGCTTAGGGCGGTGGGCGCCATTAGGCTTAGGTTAGGTAGGTAGTTAGGGACTTAGGGCTAGGCTTAGGTTAGGCTTAGGCTTAGTTTAGGCTAGCTTAGGTTTAGCTTTAGGTTAGGCTTAGGGCGGTGGGGGCGTTATGCTGCCTCCATGCCGTCCTGGGCTGCCCGGGGGTGGCGTTATGCTGCCTCTGTGGCGCCGCGTGGCGCCAAACCCCCCGTGGGGGGGGGGGGGGTAGGGGGGGGGGCAGAAGCAGTATAGGGGGGAGTCGAGGGGGGGAAGAAAGAGGGGAATCGGGGAAGAAAGAAGAAAGGGGAAAAGGGAAAGAGAAGAAATAGGAAGCAGGAAGGGAAAGAAAATTAAGACAATAAAGTTGAAAAAGACAATAAAGAAAAGTTAATTAATTAATAAAAGAACCAGTTTTTTTAATTTAATTCTTCTGCCTCTGGTTATAAAGATAAGGATTCTGGGAGATGACAACTCAGCAATTCTGAAGTATGTTAATTTCTTCATCTACTATTTTGAAGTATGCTGGTCTGTATATTATGGAGTATGTGGAGATATATAATAACCTCTCCACAAGTATTATGTTCTTTATGAACGTAAAAGCTAGCAAGTTATTATATATTTTGAATTCATTCATTCAGCCAAGAAGTATAGGAATACTGTAGAAAACCTAGTTCATTTCCATACGCGGAGTTATGATATCTTCTCGCTTCCCTTTCCAAACAGGAAAAGGAAAAAAGAGTGAGATGAACAATATATTTTATGAACTTTCTCCTACATCTAATCTGTGTGGCTGACCTGTAAGCATGCTGAAACAAATATTATGATCAGCAATTCCAGATACGTTCTAGGACCATGTGCTTGTTTTGGATCAGCACCTACTAGAAAACCCGCCCGACCAACGCTTTTTTCCATACGTTCTATTTACCAACTCTTCGATGCAGTGGCTATGACGGTATTCTTGATTTCAATGATTTGGCTATAGTTATTTGAAATTATATTTTGTCCATGCCTTTTATTGTAATAAAATTACAACTGTATAAAAAAAACCTCTTACATAGAGTATTTTGTTACTGTCTTCAAAAAGGGATGAAATGCATAGGATGTGTCTTTAGAAAACTACTAGTTTCCTACTAACAAAACTCCTAACACAATATGGACAATAATTAATGGTAAAGAAGAATTTAGTATATTTATGAGAATTCAAACAGTAGCCACCACAAAGTTTAAAACATTCACATCCCATACCAGTGGCTAGAATGTACTAGAGTTATGTTTCCCAATTTAAATGAATGAATGAACGAGATCTAACCTACCCTTCACAATGTTCTGTCTGCTCCTTTAAGATGTATATAAAAAAGAAATGTTCTTTCCTTGTTTCTCCTTGAAGTGACAGAATTTGATTTTTTTTAAACCCATCTCATGAAACAGGATCCATGGGACTAAGGTAGTGGAGTTACCTTCAATTGCAACTTGCAGCAAATCCTGCCGCATGGGAATGTGCCGCCGGCTTATGAATTGCATAGAGAAGGTATATAGAAAAGGAACGGGAAGGGGGAATCGAGGGGAATCGGGAAAGAAAGAAGAAAGGGGAAACGGGAAAGAAAGAAAGAAAGGGAAAGAGTATAAAGAAGGAACGGGAAGGGGGGAATCGAGGGGAATCGGGAACAAAAGAAGAAAGGGGAAACGGGAAAGAAAGAAAGAAAGAAAGAAAGAAAGGGAGAGAGTATAAAGAAGGAATGGGAGGAAATAGGAAGCAGGGAGGGGAAGAAAATTAAGTTATTTAGTTAATTAAGTTATTTAATTATGTTGAAAATAGAAAATTAATTATTTAATTAATCAAGTTATCTGTCAGGCACCCTTTCTAAATTACAAACTACTCTGTCAATCATTTAAAGCTGGTTACCAGTACGATTCTGAAGTATGTTAATTTCGCATCATCTACTATTGAGTTTCTTCTCTCTGGCTGTTTTTATTGGTCCATCAGTTTCACTTCCCCCCTTTACCTGTATGGTGTGTATACTATGAAGTATGTAGAGATATAATAGCCTCATAGGTATTATTTTGAACTGCTGAGTGGAAAACCATTGCTAGGGTTGCATTCTGTAGGTGGCTAAGATGACTAGGTGGTTCTATGGGGGTATACTATGTGTTACAAATGAGTGGGAATGGTGCTTACACTGAAGTGCCACAATTAAAGAAGCCGTTTCCCTATTTCTATTAGGAGCAGCGGAGGTGAAGAAAGGGGGAAAGGGAAACGGGGAAAGAGAAGAAGAAGAAGAAGAAGAAGAAAGGGAAACAGGTATAAGTGAAGGAGTAGAGAGAAGGAACGGGAAAGAAAGAGGAAGCAGAAAGGGAAAATTAAGACAGAGGAAGAGAAGAGAAAATTAAGTTGTATAATTTATTTAATAAAAGAACTGGGTTTCATTGAATTCATAATAACTTGTACAAGGGTTTTATCATTCTCCAAGTTCGTTTCCTGCTTTGAAGATAGTTCGTGCCTCCAGTTACATTGAAATCTAGTCTTGACTTATGTTTCATCATCTGTCAGGCACCCTTATTAAATTAGAAATTGCTAATCAAAGGAAATAAGAACACTGGGAAGCTTTTCTTAATGCCAGCTGGTACCAAGGGCCAACTTTAGGTCTTTAGCAATTCTAAAGTATGTTATTTTCACTTCATCTACTATTGAGTTTCTTCTTTTGGTACCAACTACCAAGGTCTATTGTGAAGATCCAGGCCTCAGTTACATTTGAAACTAGAAATTTAGTCTTCTGTAAACTCATGTTTTTGTGTTGAGATATATAATAATAGCCTCATAGGTATCTTGTATTACTCCTGTTCGCTACTTATCTCCACATATGACTTTTCATGGTCATCGTGAAAACGAAAATGTGTCGAGATTTATCCTGCTAGGAATTTTCTCACAACACCAGTATCTTCAGTTAAATACAGTTGAGCTTGACGACCGATTAGAGGCCACCTGGATTCCCATCCAATCTTAGCCTTTGAGAAACTGCCTGGGAAGTTTCATTTCCAATTCAGAAAGCTTGACTTTGCCACAGTCATGTACGAGTTGTGAGCGGTTATTTCTACTGGATAAGGAGTGCTGGCAGCCTCATGATGGGTCTCTTGCTCGGGTTTCAAATAGAGACTGTTCAGGGTTTGTCAGTACGAAAAAAGAATTGAGATCTCTGCTTTCCTTGTCACAAACACTTGGTATTGCAATAATATCTCCCAGGGACTTGCGCAAGGTGAGAAGCACTTTGAGACCAAGCCTGCAAACTCAGAGAAGAATTCTGCGAGTTCGAAGAGACATGCACAAGGTGAGAAGCAGTTTGAGAAGAATTCTGCGAATGAGGATCTTCTGCTGGCGACAAAATCAGCGCATTCGAGGTCACCTGCGAACTAAGAGTTCTGTTCGAGACAAAGCTGAAGTGGCTTGGGATGACATCTGATTTTCAGTTGGCCGACGGCGTCTAGGAGGGCTCCTCGCTTGGCCTGTAGGTCTCCGGTGACGCGAACGTTCGCACATCTTGTCCAACCAGATTCGCATCTCCTTCGCCCAATCACTTTTCGGCCAGCTTCTCCACTTTTCTGCCGTCAACCTTTTGCGCTAGCTTCTCCCCTTTTCCGCGCTAAGCATCATGGTCGGATCTTCCAAGCTCCCTGCGCAGTTCCTCTCCGCCTTGCGTAGACACACGCTTCTCAGTGTTTGCGCGCAAACCAGAGGCAGCTGATCTCAATGTTCCCTATGCTGCTCCATTTATTTATCGTGTGACTTAGATCGAAGCTTCCGAGGGACAACGGCTCTGATACCAATGTTAGGGACCTCAACATTAGGGACCTCAACAATGCAGCAGAATTTTAGTATTATATTGATTAAAAAACTAAGAAGACAGTAGCGATTGCAATGGTAGAAACGAGAGATCAACGTAAACTGAAAATAACATGGTTGAGACTTGAGACTCTTCAAGAGGCCTCACTCTCCCAGCCTAATTCCAACTGAAATTCTGCCTACCTTCTTCCTCCCTCCTTCCCCCTTTTATATCATTTCTCTTCTTAAGGGCTGGCCCATATTTCATGAATTACATGGCCCAAAACATTAATTTATACAATTTACACTCTATTAATAATACTCTATTATTCTTATTGTTATTGGCTGTCCATGTCCCTATCAAATAATGATCAAACTCCACTTACTAATAAAAACTTTGGAATATTAATTATTACCAAAGTCACTATAACTCACTATGGGTCATCCGGAAACAGTCTCTCTGTGCTTTAGTACAGGGGTAAGGCTGCGTACATCCGACCCCCCCTTACCCCACCGTAGGTGGGAGCCTTTGCGGCACTGGGGTAAATGAAAATGAAAATGAAAATGACCAAAGTCACTATAACTACTTTGTTATTGCTACTACTGCAGTCAGAGGATTTGGTGCTATCCGGAGTTGTTGATGTTAATGAGTGTTATTACTCTTGACGATGTACACTTGTACTTCGTCAAGTGGTACTGTTTTGACCTTGTAATAAATATGACATAAAGAATATAAAACCAACGTGATACCCTATTTTTACTTGATTTGGGAACATATACTATTATCATGAAATTCATACTTAACTCCGCGGTCATCCACCACATAACTCACAATAATTGTTATTTGCTCTTTGACTGAATTACTACTTTATCTAATAGTCTCCTCTTATCTTTTTTGCCATAAGTACTAATACTAAATTTGGGATTGGAAGCAGGGGCATTTGCTCCCCCAGCACCCAGGTCCTCTATGCCCTAGCGGGAGTTGTGAGCGGACGAGGAAGACGGGAGAAAGACACTCTCTAAAATCCCCTACTGGCTTCAAAGAACAAGACACTATCCGGTTTTAATAAGTAATTCAATATCCTAATTTTGAAATAACTTTCTGTCCCATATATGAGACTTCTCGTCGTTGTTAAAAGCATATAAAGGGGTTCTAAATTTTGAAGCCATTTGAAAAATCAATGCGTTTTTATACATTTTTTAATAAAATAACTTTATGTGGCTCAATATTAATTCTTATCAATGGGAGTATATATGCTTGATAAGGTCTGCTTCTTTAAGTATTAGTTCTTAAGTATTGATGAATTTTTTGCTTACAACAAATGTACTTGAGTGCAGTAAAAGTTTAACTAATTGTACTTCATCTAATCAACCTAGATAGTTTGAACTTAATATTAATTAGAACCGGGGCGCAGTGAATTACTGCTCAACTGTAATACAACATTTCTCTTCCGAAGTGAGGTTGAAGTCGCTTAATTAACATCACTCTTGTTTTGGTTTTGGTTTTCATAAATTGATGTGTTTTAAGTTTCATCAATAAAGTCCTTGATTTATAAGGACATATGATGCAAGAAAGTTAACAAATTTGCACTGCCAAACATCTTCTCAAAACACTGTTGAGGTGTCCAACAATTTTATGTTATCATTATCTGTTTTTTAAAGGTGATTATGTCTGCTTGTGTCAATCTTTGGCCAGTTTTGACTTCTTTCTTCTATCTCTGCTTGTGTCAATCTTTGTCCAATTTGTTCTCTGAATGTGTTCTCTCAGGAGTCACAGCAAGTGTTCTTCCCTTCGCTGCTTTTACCCAGTTCAAGGGTCTAACCATTTTCCCTCCCTGTTCCTTCCAACAGCGATGCCTTGTCCGTCAGATCAGTTAACCCACTGGTCTTTAAGGCCATTGAGAAACATTCCCTTTAACATCTCTTGGTCAGCAAGTTTGATAGGAGCTACAACCATTTCGAAGTGATCCCGGTACTCCATTACTGAATCAGTTTGCCTAATACTGAGCATAGGACCAAACGGGTTCTGTACTAAGTCAGGTTGGAATCGTCGGATCAAAGCCTCTTTGAAGTTAACCCATTAATGGTCAGCTGTCTGTTCATCCCACCATTGGTACCAGTTCAGAGCCTTATCGGCCATGGCGATTAAGACTATCTCCACCTTGTCATAACCTGATACCTGGTTTAGTTTGAAATAACGTTCTACCCTGATAAGCCATCCATAAGCATCCTCACCGCTAAGCAGCGATAAATCTACCTTTCTACCCGTATAGACACGTTCCCCGAACCTCGTATTAACAGGCGTAAGAACCGATTGAGATTCACGCGGGTTACCTCTGGAACAGGACGCGTTCCACTTCCCGACAGTTGGCGTCTGCGATTTGTCATCGGTCGACCTCGAGTTCTTCTGTGGTTGCCCTGAACTTTGAGGTTTTGCATTTTTCCAACAGTGCCTGCATCCTTTCGTCCATCAGTGCTCACATTTCTGGTCGCATATCTGCAATTGATCGCTCCAGCAATTTCTCCAGATTATCTATCCGATGCTCCATGTTCGATCTAGTGAGGACCATACACAGGTGCAACAATCGTAAGCTTTGATACCAATGATAGGTAGCGTAACAATCAGTGGAAACTCGTAGTATGTTGATGAAGATTTAATGATGGAAAACAGAAAATAACGAGACAAGAAGGTTGAGACTCTTCGAGTGGTCTCGCACTCCCAAAATCCCAGTCCCGATCCCAAAATTCTGCCTTCCCTTCTACTCACAGCTCACCCCTATTTATTCTTTTTCTAATGGGCCACCCACTTCTATTTAGTTATAGGGCCTAAACCCCCTATAGTGTACAATATTAAGACGTAATCGTATTCTTATTCTAGTATTGTCCGAGGTCTCTATCACTTTAGAGCACTTAAAATTATTCTTCTATGATGAAGTACCATAACATGATACGTTACAACACTTCAAAGTAAAACTTGTGGGAGGAGGTTCTGTATCATCATGCTTTATATTTTACTCGCATTTGATATTTTTTTGTATACCTTTGAGTACTCATGTAGTGGATGCTGAAAATGAGGGTGGGCGTGCTGAGAAAAAGGCCTCCAAGAAGACTGTTAACTTTAAGGAACTTAAGCAAGTAGATCATATTCTTGCTTCTCGACAATGATAGATGACTTTAGTTAGACTAAAGATCACTATGTGTTCCTTTGTATGAATATGCATATTATAGCTGAAAATTTATCTATGGCGTGTTGGATGGTTCCGCAAAGTACCAGTCAAATATTCCCAAAGTATAGTCTAAGTAGTCTTGCCGATTTTGCCAACTGATCATCATCATTTTCATTTACCCGAGTGCCGCAATATTACTCTTGTACTAAAGCACAGAGAGACTGTTTCCGGATGACCCATAGTGAAAATCGCGTCCAAAATTGCATGGACTGACTGATGCCTCATAACAAAAAAGCGCAGACAGTTTAGTGAGTCGTTTTGCTTTATTCCATCTTATTATCAAGCCAAAAAATAATGAATCTTTGGCTCCATTGCAAATGATGTAAAGTGATTTTGCCAACTGATCATGGTCAAAATATCCTCCGTGTCTATTTTCTGAACATGTGATTGGTTGGATATATTATATAATCATTCTACATAATTGCAATAGTTTGAAGAACAGTCATTTTCCGGCTCAGTCTTTTAACCGCACGATCCAGTTACATACGGATCCACGGCTAACACTTGCTGGCTCAGCAGCTCCTTCGTTCTGCATTTTTATTTCTCAGATTTGGATTTCTATCCCTCAACCATACAATAATACGTATTAAATGATTAAATCACCTTCTCCGTTTTGATTTGATTCTATCACCTTCTCCGTTCAGATTCCGTTCAGTCACATTCGCCGTTCGGATTTCGTTCAGTCGTCTTCGTTAGAAATCATTTTAGTTTAGATGCATTCATGGGTCTCTCCATTTGGGTACGTGATTTCTCGCTCTCTATCGGTTCAAAAAATCACCAGAGATCGCGTACTTCATATGTCAGAGGTGCATCGATCAGTATATGAGAAGCACAACATCAGTACTGGAATCGACACTATCGAGTGGGTATCTTCACCGAATGTTATTGAAGGATTTGAAAAGGATCATATACTATCATTATCAGGTTTATTGGTCTTACTACTTCAATTCACACATATCTTTCAAATTGAGGGATTATGTTCTTATTACTAACTTTATTCATGATTTGCAATTCATATCTCAATTCAAGATATATCTTATTTACCATATCAGCTTCATCGATGTTAATTGATTCAATTTTTTATATTTTAATAGAATGGATTTACTTTTGTATATGTGCTTTTTCTGTATTGATTTAATCAACATGGTTCTGGAAATCCTATGATGGCATGAAATATTTGACACCTCATACTCGACTATTGATGTTTGCATAAGTATAAATTTCTGAGAATTCTCCCTTTGAGATTTTTTTCCAGTTAGTAATAAAGTCCAACAGTTATTTTCACAGGATTGATTGTAAAATAATCTTAATTAAGAACCAATATGATTAGTGTCTTGATTAGGAACCAATTTTATTTTATTTGATTCATTTGGATTTACTTTTGAATATAGGTGTGTTTTTGATGTATTTATGTAATCAACATGGTTTTGGAAATCCTATAAAGACATGAAAATTTTGAGACTTGATACTTTGATAGTCAACTATTGATGTTAATATAAGCATAAATTTCTGAGGTTTTTGATTTTTTTATCGGTCAGGAATTAAAACTTGTGACAATCTTTTTCATTAGAGAATGAGGTGATGATTGAACTTGACTTTGAAGATTTTATTCTCTTTTTTGTTTCAATGTGATGTACAACTTGTGACAATTTTGTTCGGTTGTATACTTGTATCAAATGAATCCCCCCCCCCCCCCCCGCCCGCCAGTTAATGTAGTTTCTGATTGTTATAAGATTAAATTTGATTTGAGGGGACATTGCAAGAGGAACATTTTGTATGTAGTTACTTTTGGTTAGCTAATAAGAATTATGTATATATAGATCTTAATGGCATCGTACAATATGATGTGTTAATTGGGAGTTCAGATTCATGATGTTTTTAAATGAGTGATAGATAGCTAGATTGTGAACAAAATTTGCCTTCCGATCAATGAACTTAGAACCTGGTTGGACTTGATCCAGTTTTAGCTCAGCTGTCCATCCAAAGTTGGTGTTCCATGTAGTTTAGGCCAGATTAATCTCAAACTTTTTAGCCAAGCAATAAAAACAACTTGGTATGACCCTATTTGAAGTAACTTGAACTTGATGGGAACCATTCTAAAAATGAATAGGCCCGATTGTTTATTCAATTAGTATTGGTCCAGTTTAGTTATGATATCGTGCCTACTCCTACTACGAGCCTGCTTTGAAGTATAAATTTGTGTCAAGATAATGCAAGTCAGAAGTTTAATTTTTTCACTTCTCTTCATTTCGGCTCATATAATTTTCATTTCTTTCTTTAATTTACAGGATATGCATTGTCATTGTCATGAGTGATTCTCAACATTGCCTAGAGGTCTTCATCATCAAAAACTCTTCTTCTTTTCTCTCATCAGAATCCATCCGATTTGAAAAGCACGAAAGCAACTTCTCTTCATTCCGGATTTAAAATTCAGGTTTTCATTCCCGATATAGTTTTCTTTGAATTTATTAATCTTGAATTTAGCAGATCCAAAGTTTCAAACAGTCTTAGTCAATAACTTTTTAAACTGCTTTATGTTAACGTTCTTGCTGAGTAATTCCTCAGGGACTAAGAAGAAGAGTTCATGTTCTTTGCTCTTCTGCATTTCTTCTTGCTGTTGTCTCAATGAAAAAATAGAGAAGTGGTTCTTTGCTGCATATAGGAAAGTGACTTAATGTTCCTCTTCTTGGGAGTATGCCATGGGATAACCTCTGCTTCAAGTAGACCTGGCCCTTGCATCTCATTTTAAGTATTTGATCATCATCGACTCTTTAGTTGTTTAATTTAATGGGCAATGGAGAAGTCTGTGTCCTAAGTGCGATTAAACATTTCCTTTGTATTGTGATCTGTGAAAACCCCAGATGAATTGCTTTCTCCCAAAAAAAATCAAATCTTTAATTTAAATCTGCAGTACCTTAAATTTATTTGTCATAGTTGTAGCTTTACAGGTTTTGTTCAGATTTGCTTCTTTTGTGTGATCTACATTCCCTATTTTCTTATCTTCTCTCATTTTAGAAAATTTAGGTTTGTTAATTGGCTGAAATTGGTTCTCACTTTTTTCTGTTTTTTTTTTTAAATCTAACCAATATAAAGAAGAATAGCAGAGTTTATGTTTTATGTTCACTAGCAGACTAAACAAACTCAAGTTTGATCAAGTCTTAAAATAGCATTGCCAAAGAGAATATTAATTGCCTAAGGTATTGAAAGCTCAATAATCACTTTTTAGTTCCAAATAATCCATGCTCATGAACTGATGTAAATGTTATGGAAAATCATTATAAACAGGGAAAAGATTTTCAGAAATGAACAATTTGATATTTAGAACTGTGTTGTATAGAATATTATTTGAAACTAAGTGGTATGCTTTAATAACCAAAATCAACAAAACCACCATTTCAAACAGCTTAAAGTGTAAAACTTTTAAATAAACTTTCATGTGAAAGAAACAACAAAGATAAGTGCACATTGATAAACCACAACATCCTTCACTCCAAGATAAACAACAAAGATAAGTGCACATGTGATAAACTTTTAGTTCCATTTCTTATTTAGTTGTTTATGTTCACTTATCAAGGAATGCAATTTTAATGATTTACAATTTAATACTGAAATATCACTCATTTAGATTCTTTAAATTCTCCAACAATGTGTAGTTGCTGCTCTAAGTCGTTCAAATATGGAATAATGTGCAGTTGTTGCTCTAATTGAATAGCTGGAACACTAATTGGATGTCGTGGACATATGTGAAGGGCTAATCGAGGTATACAAGCGACGACAAATCACATAGGTAAAACTTATGACCTTTTGAATTCCGAACTTTCATTTACTTCCTGTTCGTTTAAGTCAGTTAAATTGCTTCTTTTCATTGTGGTCATTTGCTGTTGTTTAGTGGAAGTAATAATGCTTGCCTAATTTTTTATGGCACCCCAAAGTTGATCAATTAAGCTTGGCATAACTTTTTTCCATCTTGATATATAAGTTGTTTGAGTTTTTATTATGTACTCACAATGATTTTTAATATTACAAACATAGTCATTTGTTGTGCAGCTGTCTGGAATGATCCAGCGCGAAGATGGCTAAAGTTATGGGCTGAACATGATGCAGTTGTTGGATCGGACAACAATCCCTAAGTACATGCTAGAATATGGTTGAAATTGCTTTTGCATAATAACCATTATTTAGTACATAGTATTATTTATGTGGTGAATGTACTACAATTGCACCGCGAAATTGTAGACTTATGTCAGGGCACACATATCATACGGCTCATATTTTGTCGTCTTATCGATCTTAAATGACTTCTACATAGAGTGTACCTTTAGTTATAATTTTGAGAACAATGTTTACCAATACAATCAGTTTTCTTGCCTTTTTCTCACCAAAAAGTGAGATTTATTTTTAGAATACAAATGGGTGATGCTGCAACTTAAGATGTCAGTGGCCGGTGATAATGCACTAATAGCTGAGTCTAAATTCCTTTCTCCATAAATTTGTTAAATTGTAAAGGATTATTTTTTAATTGTATTTAATTTTCATATAAGTTGTTTATATTTTGCTTGCTGAAAATATTATGAAGGATAAGTGCGATGACGATTATGACATGAAATTACTATCATGTCATTCTTTAATAGATAACTTTTATTTAGGCGGGAGGCCGAACGGGTTGGCCTTTCGTTGTACATTTTAATTTAATTAATAAATTATAGTTAAAGTAGTATAGTGAGTGAATATTGGAGATCAAAATTATCACGAATTGTTGTGGACTTGTGGTCAGGCATGCCCATACTCATTAGTCATTACTCATGGTCCATGGAAAGAAAAATAGTGAAAAGCTCTACGTGAGATTATGAAATTGACTTTATATTTAACTAGAAACAGAATTTATTGTATCTTCATTTATTTACATAAGTGGATAAGTGTGCACGACATTATTTAATCAAACCTATAAAAGCTAAGTTTCAATAGTACTGCGTATTGTAATTGCTTCCATATTTAGTATTGAGTGTAACACACACACACACATTATTTAATCAAACCTATCAAACCTATAAAACCTATAAAATATTAAAATTACTTTAATATTTTCTTAGATTTGAGATATATTTAGTATTTTCTTACAATCTCATCCACTTAGAAATGCTTGACGTTGATGTGTTTGTTCTTATTGGATCGATATACTTATTATATTAATTCTAATTGTAGTTTTAGAATATACCTTTAATTTAGGAATTATACATTAACTTTCCTATAGCTATACTCTTAAATCTATATACATAGATAGGGTTGTTGAACATTTTTAGCTTCTTAATGTCTATGCCCAATTAAACACAGATTAGACAAATTAATTCTACTGTTACATGGATAATTAATTGAGTAATCACAATCTTAGAAATGTATAAATTTAATGATTAATGATTACACATAGAGAGGAAGTGGTCCAGCTCAACTGGACGCCAACTCACTCTCCCTTATGGGAGGTCTTGGGTTCGAAGAATGATTACACAGTTTCATAGTATAGATTTTGTATAAAAACTTATTTTAAATATTTTCTTATATTTATGCACTTCTAATTTTATTTTTAATACTTTCTAATATTTCCTCATGAACTGATGTAGGATAAAAGTTTCTTATTCCGAAATTAACTTGACTCCATCTAACCTAAAGTTGTTGTTCACATTTCAATGTAGGCACTTCCCTTTGATGTTATTCTTTGAAGAGGGTTGATGATTTCTTACATCGTCTGTTTTTACTCATGAACAATTTTACGTCGCGATCTCAAGAGTAACGTCCCTGTTATGATTGAACTTTATTATATGAGATGAAGACAGAAAATTGACAAAGAAGACTTTCAATGTTGTTAACAAGGAAGTACTTCGTACATAATAATTTATGACTTTCAAGTTTTCGGCCTCCCGCCTAAATAAAAGTTATCTATTAAAGAATGACATGATAGTAATTTCATGTCATAATCGTCATCGCACTTATCCTTCATAATATTTTCAGCAAGCAAAATATAAACAACTTATATGAAAATTATATATAATTAAAAAATACTCCCTCCGTTCCCAAAAATACTTCCCACTTTCCTTTTTGGGCCGTTCCCAAAAATTCTTCCCACTTTTCCTTTTTGGACAATTTGTGTGGCTCACATTCATTTTACCTTTTTCTCACACAACCACAACCACACATTTCCACTTTATTCCACTTTCTTAATAGGCGTGCCAATTCAAACCGGGAAGAATTTTTGGGAACGGAGGGAGTAATCCTTAACAATTTAACAAATTTATGGAGAAAAGATTTTAGACTCAGCTATTAGTGCATTATCATCGGCCATTGACATCTTAAGTTGCAGCATCACCCATTTGTATTCTAAAAATAAATCTCACTTTTTGGTGAGAAAAAGGCAAGAAAACTGATTGTATTGGTTAAATTGTAGTACATTCACCACATAAATCTACAATTTCGCGGTGCAATTGTAGTACATTCACCACATAAATAATACTATGTACTACATAATGGTTATTATGCAAAAGCAATTTGAACCATATTCTAGCATGTACTTAGGAATTGTTGTCTGATCCAACAACTGCACCATGTTCAGCCCATAGCTTTATCCATCTTCGTGCTGGATCATTCCAGACTGCTGCACAACAAATGACTATTTTTTTTATACATCGGAAAGGACACAACAAATGACTATGTTTGTAATATTAAATCATTGTGAGTACATAATAAAAACTCAAACAACAACTTATATATCAAGATGGAAAAAAATCATGCGAAGCATAATTGATCAACTTTGGGGAGCCATAAAAATTAGGCAAGTATTATTACTTCCACTAAACAACAGCAAATGACAACAATGAAAAGAAGCAATTTAAATGACTTAAACGAACAGGAAGTAAATGAAAGTTCAGAATTCAAAAGGTCATAAGTTTTACCTATGTGATCTGTCGTCGCTTGTATACCTCGATTAGCCCTTCACATATGTCCACGACATCCAATTAGTGTTCCAACTATTCAATTAGAGCAACAACTGCACATTATTCCAGATTTGAACGACTTAGAGCAGCAACTACACATTGTCGGATAATTTAAAGAATCTAAATGAGTGATAATTCAGTATTAAATTGTAAATCATTAAAATTGCATTCCTTGATAAGTGAACATAAACAACTAAATAAGAAATGGAACTAAAAAAAGTTCTTAAATTAGATAAAAACAAAAGTCAACCAGACCCCATAAATGATAAAAGTGAAACTGTAGAAATGAAGATCAAATCATCCGACAAAAGAGAAGAGAAAAAAATGTTTTCAAACTCAAGGAACCTTGGGCCAAAAAGAAAAAATAATTTTTTAAAGCTGTGTGTGAGAGAGGAGAGGGGGGGGAGATGTTTTTTGCTAGACATCCAACTTGTTTCAGTTTTTTGTTTCTTTCTCATGAAAGTGTTTTATAGTTGGAGTGAAGGATTCTTTCTAATAGGCTGTGGTTTATCAATGTGCACTTATCTTTGTTGTTTCTTTCACATGAAAGTTTATTTAAAAGTTTTACACTTTAAGCTGTTTGAAATGGTGGTTTTGTTGATTTTGGTTATTAAAGCATACCACTTAGTTTCGAATAATATTCTATACAACACAGTTCTAAATATCAAATTGTTCATTTATGAAAATCTTTTCCCTGTTTATAATGATTTTACATAACATTTACATTAGTTCATGAGCATGGATTATTAGGAACTAAAAAGTGATTATTGAGCTTTCAACACCTTAGGCAATTAATATTCTCTTTGGCAATGCAATCAGTGGCGGACCCAGAAAAATAATGTCACGGGGTCCCTACTCGAATGTAACTCTAATTAATATTACATTTGTTCTGAAAAAGTTAGCCGTATTTATTTTTATTAGTCAATAATAGCAAATTTTGGAGAATGACTTTAATCATTATATTTGTATTTAATTTACAAATTTTATATTTTTATGAAAATGTTTTGAATAAAGAACATTTTGACATATTTTTCATATTTAAAATAATCGCTTATTAAAAAATATCATTGGTCAAAATTAATTATAACTGATATGTAAACTGTGGTTTAGGATTTTTTTTAAAACCAATACAACGTAGTTTTGATATTTTAGAATAATAAATAGGGAAAATAACTTTACATAATACCAACTATCTTTCATGAATAAGAATAATACATACTTCAGAAAAAACGTTCAATAATACCAACTATTTTAGTGTAGAACAAAATAAAATGGAGTCACTTTTTTACAAGAAATCTAATCATTTAAGACATAAAAAACTAATATCAACAATAAATAAATGAAATTTGAAAATACGGTGACTTATTCGATATTCTGCTATTAGTTTTTGATGAATTAAATGACTGATTTTTTAGTGAAAAGTTGATATATACATATTATTGTTGGTATATATTCAAATAGTTAGTATTAGTAAAAATAATTATTTTTCTAAATGAGACTAAAACTTTATCAAAGTACATAAATAAGACCATGTTTATAATCTCTAAATATGACTTATTTGATTCTATTAAAATAATAAAACATCATCAGTTATGAGTCTGTGAGTCCTATTTTAAGAAGAAAATAGTCTGTGAGTCCTATTTTAAGAAGAAAATAGTGTTGGTCTCATTTGTGCAATTTGTCAATGTTTTAGTGTTACTCAAGGAGACAAGGACTTTACTCTTTTAAAAATTATTTCTGATAAATGTCTTTTTCCCTAATAAATCTAAAAAAACATAGAAGGGGCGTCCACGGGATTCGAACTACACACCTCCGTGTGGGAGAAGAATTAAACTCCACAGATACTACCAATGCTCCATAATAATAGTTGCAACTTCAACTAGCTTTTAACGTATATATACATTCTTTTATTCATTTGTAAAGAAATATATATAATATATAGGTATTTTTTTGGAAGTCCACGGGGTCCCAGGACCCCATGTGACCTTTAGTGGGTCCGCCTCTGGCAATGCTATTTTAAGACTTGATCAAACTTTGAGTTTGTTTAGTCTGCTAGTGAACATAAAACATAAACTCTCCTATTCTTCTTTATATTGGTTAGATTTAAAAAAAAAAACAGAAAAAAGTGAGATCACACAAAAGAAGCAAATCTGAACAAAACCTGTAAAGCTACAACTATGACAAATAAATTTAAGGTACTGCAGATTTAAATTAAAGATTTGATTTTTTTTTTGGGAGAAAGCAATTCATCTGGGTTTTTCACAGATCACAATACAAAGGAAATGTTTAATCGCACTTAAGACACAGACTTCTCCATTGCCCATTAAATTAAACAACTAAAGAGTCGATGATGATCAAATACTTAAAATGAGATGCAAGGGCCAGGTCTACTTGAAGCAGAGGTTATTCCATGGCATACTTCTGAGCTCAGCTCCTTGCTGTAGTCTCGTATTTGTTTATGTCAATCTTGTACATCTGTGCAATTTCTGGTACCAAGGGATCATCAGGGTTAGGGTCCGTCAAGAGAGAGCAGATCGAAAGTAGGACCTTTGGTGGAAAACTGTGGTGGCTTGAAGGGGTAATCTGATGGGAAATGGTTGGTAACCAAGAAAACTCCACCAGTGTAAGGACTATCTGGAGGACCCATTATCGTTGCTTGCCAATGAAACATGTCCTCAGCAACAGGGCCAGCACTGCAAGAAGTAGGAGGATCCCTGAGCTCCTTCAGGATCCGCTTCGAAGCCATGCCTTCCAATCCAGTCAATTCCCACTTAGATCGAGCTCTAACCTGATGTGATGAATCTCGAGAATCCGATTCGGATCCTCAGCAGGTGGCGCTCGAAGCTCTGTAAAGTCAGCAACGCAAGCTGGGTTTTTTATTTTCACACAGAAATAATTGATCTAAAAAAAATTAAAGATTTGATTTCTTTAGGAATTAGACTTTTAGTACTGCAGATTTAATCAGTTAGTCTACACTATTAAAGCACAATTTCTCTAATAGTTTCAATGTGTCCAAATTACATTTTGGGAAAAAGTTCAAATAGATCTTACTATTTCGAATCCATCACTTAAGTCCATATATGAAAGATAATCATAGAATCACATTCACTTAAAAAAGAGAACGGGCATAGCACAAATACATAGCAAGGGATTAGAATAAGCATGAGGAATAGATCTGCCAGTTGTTATATATCAACTTCTTTTTAAACTTTTGATTTATAAATATATCAGCTTCTTTTAACTATGAAGAGGCAAAAAATTACTTAGGCTTTGAGATTTAAAACATAAACTCGCATGTCTTATCAATGTTATGTTGAACTCCTAAAAATTAGAAAACTAACATAATGCATAGTTGCAGATCAGTGGATTGAAATAATGAATAGTCATTCTTGGTGTTATTCATAGTTAAAAGAAGCTGATTCAAAAAAATTCCAGTAGAAAGCAGACTGTTGCTAAACTCTTGTTTGCTATATATATATATATATATATATAGAGAGAGAGAGAGAGAGAGAAAAGTTCATGTCAGGCCGGCCTGACTGGCTGCTCCGTCCGGCCGAGCCCGTTTGGGTACCTTCCCGGTGGAATTTTTTGATGAAATTTTTTGAGCATGTTCCCCATCAAGTCTAGTTTGTCCATACCAAATTTCAGCTCAAAATTCGATCAAGAAGGCATTCAAATTATTTTTTGAAGTTGACTGCAGTTTTATATGTATATTTTGACGCAGTCAACTTCAAAAAGTGATTTAGATGCCTTCCCGATAGAATTTTGAGCTGAAATTTAGTATGGACAAACTAGACTTGATAAGGAACATGCTCAAAAAGTTTCATCAAAAAATTCCACCGGGAAGATGCCCAAACGGGCTCGGCTGGACGGAGGTTCCCGTCAGACCGGCCTGACGAGAAGAGTACTCTCTACACACACACACACACACACACACACACACATATTATTGTACTTTGTTGTTTGGTCTTTAGCATAACTTGTTTCTGTAAGGGTGAGGGCTGAGAGACCTGAGGAGCTATTTGGTTTGTGTGAGGGAAGAGAGAGATGAGATGGATCTTCTAGTGGAAAAGCGATTCCAGATATGGGAAGCGAAAAAAGCCGTAGATCTAATTTGGACGATCGTAGGGTTGAAGTGGCGAGATGCTTGACAAAAACAGCTAAACTTTTTCACATCATTATTATTTGCACACTTATCACATTCTGGTAAACATTGTACTTAGATGATGAGTTTTTATTCTCCAAGATCAAATGAAGGAGTTGGTTTACGATTTATCAAATTGAGCAGGTAACTTTCTATATGGAGCAAAGGATCACATTCAGTAACAATATGAAATGCAAGAAGAGGAACATTAAGTCACTTTCCTATATGCAACAAAGAACCACTTCTCTATTTTTTCATTGAGACAACAGCAAGAAGAAATGCAATCATGAATAAAGTTAGTAATAAGAACATAATCCCTCAATTTGAAAGATATGTGTGAATTGAAGTAGTAAGACCAATAAACCTGATAATGATAGTATATGATCCTTTTCAAATCCTTCAATAACATTCGGTGAAGATACCCACTCGATAGTGTCGATTCCAGTACTGATGTTGTGCTTCTCATATACTGATCGATGCACCTCTGACATATGAAGTACGCGATCTCTGGTGATTTTTTGAACCGATAGAGAGCGAGAAATCACGTACCCAAATGGAGAGACCCATGAATGCATCTAAACTAAAATGATTTCTAACGAAGACGACTGAACGAAATCCAAACGGCGAATGTGACTGAACGAAATCTGAACGGAGAAGGTGATAGAATCAAATCAAAACGGAGAAGGTGATTTAATCATTTAATACGTATTATTATATGGTTGAGGGATAGAAATCCAAATCTGAGAAATAAAAATGCAGAACGAAGGAGCTGCTGAGCCAGCAAGTGTTAGCCGTGGATCCGTATGTAACTGGATCGTGCGGTTAAAAGACTGAGCGGGAAAATTACTCTTCTTCAAATCATTACAATTATGTAGAATGATTATATAATATATCCAACCAATCACATGTGATTTAGCTGCTGAAAATAGACATCAAAACAAACAGAAAATTCCCTTTCCCTTCTTATTTACATAACACGGAGGATATTTTGACCATGATCAGTTGGCAAAATCACTTTCCATCATTTGCAATGGAGCCAAAGATTCATTGTTTTTTGGCTTGAGAATAAGATGGAATAAAACAAAACGACTCACTAAATTGTCTGCGCTTTTTTGTTATGAGGCAACAGTCAGTCCATGCAATTTTGGACGCGATTTTCACTATGGGTCATCCAGAAACATTCTCTCTGTGCTTTAGTACACGAGTAAGATTGCGTACATCCGACCCCCATTACCCCACCATAGGTGTAAATGAAAATGATGATGAAATGATGATGATCAGTTGGCAAAATCGGCAAGACTACTTAGACTATACTTTGGGAATATTTGACTAGTACTTTGCGGAACCATCCAACACGCCATAAATAAATTTTCAGCTATAATATGCATATTCATACAAAGGAACACATAGTGATCTTTAGTCTAACTAAAGTCACCTATCATTGTCGAGAAGCAAGAATATGATCTACTCGCTTAAGTTCCTTAAAGTTAACAGTCTTCTTGGAGGCCTTTTTCTCAGCACGCCCACCCTCATTTTCAGCATCCACCACATGAGTACTCAAAGGTATACAAAAAAATATCAAATGCGAGTAAAATGTAAAGCATGATGATACAGAACCTCCTCCCACAAGTTTTACTTTGAAGTGCTGTAACGTATCATGTTATGGTACTTCATCATAGAAGAATAATTTTAAGTGCTCTAAAGTGATAGAGACCTCAGACAATACTAGAATAAGAATACGACTACGTCTTAATATTGTACAACATAGGGGGTTTAGGCCCTATAACTAAATAGAAGTGGGTGGCCCATTAGAAAAAGAATAAATAGGGGTGAGCTGTGAGTAGAAGGAAAGGCATAATTTTGGGATCGGGACTGGGATTTTGGGAGTGCGAGACCACTTGAAGAGTCTCAACCTTCTTGTCTCGTTATTTTCTGTTTTCCGTCATTAAATCTTCATCAACATACTACGAGTTTCCACTGATTGTTACGCTACCTATCATTGGTATCAAGGCTTACGATTGTTGCACCTGTGTATGGTCCTCACTAGATCGAACATGGAGCATCGGATAGATAATCTGGAGAAATCGCTGGAGCGATCAATTGCAGATTTGCAGATATGCGACCAGAAATGCGAGCACTGATGGACGAAAGGATGCAGGCACTGTTGGAAAAATGCAAAACCTCAAAGTTCAGGGCAACCGCAGAAGAACTCGAGGTCGACCGACGACAAATCGCAGACGCCAACTGTCGGGAAGTGGAACGCGTCCTGTTCCAGAGGTAACCCGCGTGAATCTCAATCGGTTCTTACGCCTGTTAATACGAGGTTCGGGGAACGTGTCTATACGGGTAGAAAGGTAGATTTATCGCTGCTTAGCGGTGAGGATGCTTATGGATGGCTTATCAGGGTAGAACGTTATTTCAAACTAAACCAGGTATCAGATTATGACAAGGTGGAGATAGTCTTAACTCTTAATCGCCATGGCCGATAAGGCTCTGGACTGGTACCAATGGTGGGATGAACAGACAGCTGACCATTATTGGGTTAACTTCAAAGAGGCTTTGATCCGACGATTCCAACCTGACTTAGTACAGAACCCGTTTGGTCCTATGCTCAGTATTAGGCAAACTGATTCAGTAATGGAGTACCGGGATCACTTCGAAATGGTTGTAGCTCCTATCAAACTTGCTGACCAAGAGATGCTAAAGGGAATGTTTCTCAATGGCCTTAAAGACCAGTGGGTTAACTGATCTGACGGACAAGGCATCGCTGTTGGAAGGAACAGGGAGGGAAAATGGTTAGACCCTTGAACTGGGTAAAAGCAGCGAAGGGAAGAACACTTGCTGTGACTCCTGAGAGAACACATTCAGAGAACAAATTGGACAAAGATTGACACAAGCAGAGATAGAAGAAAGAAGTCAAAACTGGCCAAAGATTGACACAAGCAGACATAATCACCTTTAAAAAACAGATAATGATAACATAAAATTGTTGGACACCTCAACAGTGTTTTGAGAAGATGTTTGGCAGTGCAAATTTGTTAACTTTCTTGCATCATATGTCCTTATAAATCAAGGACTTTATTGATGAAACTTAAAACACATCAATTTATGAAAACCAAAACCAAAACAAGAGTGATGTTAATTAAGCGACTTCAACCTCACTTCGGAAGAGAAATGTTGTATTACAGTTGAGCAGTAATTCACTGCGCCCCGGTTCTAATTAATATTAAGTTCAAACTATCTAGGTTGATTAGATGAAGTACAATTAGTTAAACTTTTACTGCACTCAAGTACATTTGTTGTAAGCAAAAAATTCATCAATACTTAAGAACTTATACTTAAAGAAGCAGACCTTATCAAGCATATATACTCCCATTGATAAGAATTAATATTGAGCCACATAAAGTTATTTTATTAAAAAATGTATAAAAACGCATTGATTTTTCAAATGGCTTCAAAATTTAGAACCCCTTTATATGCTTTTAACAACGACGAGAAGTCTCATATATGGGACAGAAAGTTATTTCAAAATTAGGATATTGAATTACTTATTAAAACCGGATAGTGTCTTGTTCTTTGAAGCCAGAAGGGGATTTTAGAGAGTGTCTTTCTCCCGTCTTCCTCGTCCGCTCACAACTCCCGCTAGGGCATAGAGGACCTGGGTGCTGGGGGAGCAAATGCCCCTGCTTCCAATCCCAAATTTAGTATTAGTACTTATGGCAAAAAAGATAAGCGGAGACTATTAGATAAAGTAGTAATTCAGTCAAAGAGCAAATAACAATTATTGTGAGTTATGTGGTGGATGACCGCGGAGTTAAGTATGAATTTCATGATAATAGTATATGTTCCCAAATCAAGTAAAAATAGGGTATCACGTTGGTTTTATATTCTTTATGTCATATTTATTACAAGGTCAAAACAGTACCACTTGACGAAGTACAAGTGTACATCGTCAAGAGTAATAACACTCATTAACATCAACAACTCCGGATAGCACCAAATCCTCTGACTGCAGTAGTAGCAATAACAAAGTAGTTATAGTGACTTTGGTAATAATTAATATTCCAAAGTTTTTATTAGTAAGTGGAGTTTGATCATTATTTGATAGGGACATGGACAGCCAATAACAATAAGAATAATAGAGTATTATTAATAGAGTGTAAATTGTATAAATTAATGTTTTGGGCCATGTAATTCATGAAATATGGGCCAGCCCTTAAGAAGAGAAATGATATAAAAGGGGGAAGGAGGGAGGAAGAAGGTAGGCAGAATTTCAGTTGGAATTAGGCTGGGAGAGTGAGGCCTCTTTTCAAGTCTCAACCATGTTATTTTCAGTTTACGTTGATCTCTCGTTTCAACCATTGCAATCGCTACTGTCTTCTTAGTTTTTTAATCAATATAATACTAAAATTCTGCTGCGTTGTTGAGGTCCCTAATGTTGAGGTCCCTAACATTGGTATCAGAGCCGTTGTCCCTCGGAAGCTTCGATCTAAGTCACACGATAAATAAATGGAGCAGCATAGGGAACATTGAGATCAGCTGCCTCTGGTTTGCGCGCAAACACTGAGAAGCGTGTGTCTACGCAAGGCGGAGAGGAACTGCGCAGGGAGCTTGGAAGATCCGACCATGATGCTTAGCGCGGAAAAGGGGAGAAGCTAGCGCAAAAGGTTGACGGCAGAAAAGTGGAGAAGCTGGCCGAAAAGTGATTGGGCGAAGGAGATGCGAATCTGGTTGGACAAGATGTGCGAACGTTCGCGTCACCGGAGACCTACAGGCCAAGCGAGGAGCCCTCCTAGACACCGTCGGCCAACTGAAAATCAGATGTCATCCCAAGCCACTTCAGCTTTGTCTCGAACAGAACTCTTAGTTCGCAGGTGACCTCGAATGCGCTGATTTTGTCGCCAGCAGAAGATCCTCATTCGCAGAATTCTTCTCAAACTGCTTCTCACCTTGTGCAAGTCTCTTCGAACTCGCAGAATTCTTCTCTGAGTTTGCAGGCTTGGTCTCAAAGTGCTTCTCACCTTGCGCAAATCCCTGGGATATATTATTGCAATACCAAGTGTTTGTGACAAGGAAAGCAGAGATCTCAATTCTTTTTTCGTACTGACAAACCCTGAACAGTCTCTATTTGAAACCCGAGCAAGAGACCCATCATGAGGCTGCCAGCACTCCTTATCCAGTAGAAATAACCGCTCACAACTCGTACATGACTGTGGCAAAGTCAAGCTTTCTGAATTGGAAATGAAACTTCCCAGGCAGTTTCTCAAAGGCTAAGATTGGATGGGAATCCAGGTGGCCTCCAATCGGTCGTCAAGCTCAACTGTATTTAACTGAAGATACTGGTGTTGTGAGAAAATTCCTAGCAGGATAAATCTCGACACATTTTCGTTTTCACGATGACCATGAAAAGTCATATGTGGAGATAAGTAGCGAACAGGAGTAATACAAGATACCTATGAGGCTATTATTATATATCTCAACACAAAAACATGAGTTTACAGAAGACTAAATTTCTAGTTTCAAATGTAACTGAGGCCTGGATCTTCACAATAGACCTTGGTAGTTGGTACCAAAAGAAGAAACTCAATAGTAGATGAAGTGAAAATAACATACTTTAGAATTGCTAAAGACCTAAAGTTGGCCCTTGGTACCAGCTGGCATTAAGAAAAGCTTCCCAGTGTTCTTATTTCCTTTGATTAGCAATTTCTAATTTAATAAGGGTGCCTGACAGATGATGAAACATAAGTCAAGACTAGATTTCAATGTAACTGGAGGCACGAACTATCTTCAAAGCAGGAAACGAACTTGGAGAATGATAAAACCCTTGTACAAGTTATTATGAATTCAATGAAACCCAGTTCTTTTATTAAATAAATTATACAACTTAATTTTCTCTTCTCTTCCTCTGTCTTAATTTTCCCTTTCTGCTTCCTCTTTCTTTCCCGTTCCTTCTCTCTACTCCTTCACTTATACCTGTTTCCCTTTCTTCTTCTTCTTCTTCTTCTTCTTCTTCTTCTTCTTCTTCTTCTTCTTCTTCTTCTTCTTCTCTTTCCCCGTTTCCCTTTCCCCCTTTCTTCACCTCCGCTGCTCCTAATAGAAATAGGGAAACGGCTTCTTTAATTGTGGCACTTCAGTGTAAGCACCATTCCCACTCATTTGTAACACATAGTATACCCCCATAGAACCACCTAGTCATCTTAGCCACCTACAGAATGCAACCCTAGCAATGGTTTTCCACTCAGCAGTTCAAAATAATACCTATGAGGCTATTATATCTCTACATACTTCATAGTATACACACCATACAGGTAAAGGGGGGAAGTGAAACTGATGGACCAATAAAAACAGCCAGAGAGAAGAAACTCAATAGTAGATGATGCGAAATTAACATACTTCAGAATCGTACTAGTAACCAGCTTTAAATGATTGACAGAGTAGTTTGTAATTTAGAAAGGGTGCCTGACAGATAACTTGATTAATTAAATAATTAATTTTCTATTTTCAACATAATTAAATAACTTAATTAACTAAATAACTTAATTTTCTTCCCCTCCCTGCTTCCTATTTCCTCCCATTCCTTCTTTATACTCTCTCCCTTTCTTTCTTTCTTTCTTTCTTTCCCGTTTCCCCTTTCTTCTTTTGTTCCCGATTCCCCTCGATTCCCCCCTTCCCGTTCCTTCTTTATACTCTTTCCCTTTCTTTCTTTCTTTCCCGTTTCCCCTTTCTTCTTTCTTTCCCGATTCCCCTCGATTCCCCCTTCCCGTTCCTTTTCTATATACCTTCTCTATGCAATTCATAAGCCGGCGGCACATTCCCATGCGGCAGGATTTGCTGCAAGTTGCAATTGAAGGTAACTCCACTACCTTAGTCCCATGGATCCTGTTTCATGAGATGGGTTTAAAAAAAATCAAATTCTGTCACTTCAAGGAGAAACAAGGAAAGAACATTTCTTTTTTATATACATCTTAAAGGAGCAGACAGAACATTGTGAAGGGTAGGTTAGATCTCGTTCATTCATTCATTTAAATTGGGAAACATAACTCTAGTACATTCTAGCCACTGGTATGGGATGTGAATGTTTTAAACTTTGTGGTGGCTACTGTTTGAATTCTCATAAATATACTAAATTCTTCTTTACCATTAATTATTGTCCATATTGTGTTAGGAGTTTTGTTAGTAGGAAACTAGTAGTTTTCTAAAGACACATCCTATGCATTTCATCCCTTTTTGAAGACAGTAACAAAATACTCTATGTAAGAGGTTTTTTTTATACAGTTGTAATTTTATTACAATAAAAGGCATGGACAAAATATAATTTCAAATAACTATAGCCAAATCATTGAAATCAAGAATACCGTCATAGCCACTGCATCGAAGAGTTGGTAAATAGAACGTATGGAAAAAAGCGTTGGTCGGGCGGGTTTTCTAGTAGGTGCTGATCCAAAACAAGCACATGGTCCTAGAACGTATCTGGAATTGCTGATCATAATATTTGTTTCAGCATGCTTACAGGTCAGCCACACAGATTAGATGTAGGAGAAAGTTCATAAAATATATTGTTCATCTCACTCTTTTTTCCTTTTCCTGTTTGGAAAGGGAAGCGAGAAGATATCATAACTCCGCGTATGGAAATGAACTAGGTTTTCTACAGTATTCCTATACTTCTTGGCTGAATGAATGAATTCAAAATATATAATAACTTGCTAGCTTTTACGTTCATAAAGAACATAATACTTGTGGAGAGGTTATTATATATCTCCACATACTCCATAATATACAGACCAGCATACTTCAAAATAGTAGATGAAGAAATTAACATACTTCAGAATTGCTGAGTTGTCATCTCCCAGAATCCTTATCTTTATAACCAGAGGCAGAAGAATTAAATTAAAAAAACTGGTTCTTTTATTAATTAATTAACTTTTCTTTATTGTCTTTTTCAACTTTATTGTCTTAATTTTCTTTCCCTTCCTGCTTCCTATTTCTTCTCTTTCCCTTTTCCCCTTTCTTCTTTCTTCCCCGATTCCCCTCTTTCTTCCCCCCCTCGACTCCCCCCTATACTGCTTCTGCCCCCCCCTACCCCCCCCCACGGGGGGTTTGGCGCCACGCGGCGCCACAGAGGCAGCATAACGCCACCCCGGGCAGCCCAGGACGGCATGGAGGCAGCATAACGCCCCCACCGCCCTAAGCCTAACCTAAAGCTAAACCTAAGCTAGCCTAAACTAAGCCTAAGCCTAACCTAAGCCTAGCCCTAAGTCCCTAACTACCTACCTAACCTAAGCCTAATGGCGCCCACCGCCCTAAGCCTAACCTAAAGTTATTATGAATTCAATGAAACCCAGTTCTTTTATATTAAATAAATTATACAACTTAATTTTCTCTTCTCTTCCTCTGTCTTAATTTTCCCTTTCTGCTTCCTCTTTCTTTACCGTTCCTTCTCTCTACTCCTTCACTTATACCTGTTTCCCTTTCTTCTTCTTCTTCTTCTTCTTCTTCTTCTTCTTCTTCTTCTTCTTCTTCTTCTTCTTCTTCTTCTCTTTCCCCGTTTCCCTTTCCCCCTTTCTTCACCTCCGCTGCTCCTAATAGAAATAGGGAAACGGCTTCTTTAATTGTGGCACTTCAGTGTAAGCACCATTCCCACTCATTTGTAACACATAGTATACCCCCATAGAACCACCTAGTCATCTTAGGCTTCTTAGCCACCTACAGAATGCAACCCTAGCAATGGTTTTCCACTCAGCAGTTCAAAATAATATCTATGAGGCTATTATATCTCTACATACTTCATAGTATACACACCATACAGGTAAAGGGGGGAAGTGAAACTGATGGACCAATAAAAACAGCCAGAGAGAAGAAACTCAATAGTAGATGATGCGAAATTAACATACTTCAGAATCGTACTAGTAACCAGCTTTAAATGATTGACAGAGTAGTTTGTAATTTAGAAAGGGTGCCTGACAGATAACTTGATTAATTAAATAACTTAATTTTCTATTTTCAACATAATTAAATAACTTAATTAACTAAATAACTTAATTTTCTTCCCCTCCCTGCTTCCTATTTCCTCCCATTCCTTCTTTATACTCTCTCCCTTTCTTTCTTTCTTTCTTTCTTTCCCGTTTCCCCTTTCTTCTTTTGTTCCCGATTCCCCTCGATTCCCCCCTTCCCGTTCCTTCTTTATACTCTTTCCCTTTCTTTCTTTCTTTCCCGTTTCCCCTTTCTTCTTTCTTTCCTGATTCCCCTCGATTCCCCCTTCCCGTTCCTTTTCTATATACCTTCTCTATGCAATTCATAAGCCGGCGGCACATTCCCATGCGGCAGGATTTGCTGCAAGTTGCAATTGAAGGTAACTCCACTACCTTAGTCCCATGGATCCTGTTTCATGAGATGGGTTTAAAAAAAATCAAATTCTGTCACTTCAAGGAGAAACAAGGAAAGAACATTTCTTTTTTATATACATCTTAAAGGAGCAGACAGAACATTGTGAAGGGTAGGTTAGATCTCGTTCATTCATTCATTTAAATTGGGAAACATAACTCTAGTACATTCTAGCCACTGGTATGGGATGTGAATGTTTTAAACTTTGTGGTGGCTACTGTTGGAATTCTCATAAATATACTAAATTCTTCTTTACCATTAATTATTGTCCATATTGTGTTAGGAGTTTTGTTAGTAGGAAACTAGTAGTTTTCTAAAGACACGTCCTATGCATTTCATCCCTTTTTGAAGACAGTAACAAAATACTCTACGTAAGAGGTTTTTTTATATACAGTTGTAATTTTATTACAATAAAAGGCATGGACAAAATATAATTTCAAATAACTATAGCAAAATCATTGAAATCAAGAATACCGTCATAGCCACTGCATAGTAAAATCGAACGTTGGCATGATCAGTACAGTCATTGCGAAACTAACACTACAATCCCAGCGACAATTTTTAGTCATGCATTTCTCATTATTCTTTATTAAAAGAAGCATGGACTATAAGTCACCTAATTGTTGCCACGGACACCATAATGTCGTCGTCTTCCAAAACAACAGTGTAAAATCCGCGGTAGTTCAGACGCCCGGGCTGTGATCTGCAAAGAAGTAAAGTTAAAGACAGTAGTTTGGAACATAATAAAGAGGGAATGATGGTACGAAGTCTGCACATACCCCCAATTATAGATAACTTGAGGTATCATGTCTGTGCCCGTTTTAGGATCCACCATTGGAAGAAAACTTTCCTCCATAATGGTAAGGGCCACTGCTAACTTGGAGTTGCATTCTGCAATAAAAGGACGAAGCAGCTGGACCAAATGACTGTTCTGGTCATGTGGGATGCACTTCAAAAGTGTCCAGGAGAAGCCATCACTCAGCTGATTCGGTAGTCCAATGAGAGACTTAAGATGGGTGTAAACCTGCATAAAGTGGTAAATAGCAAATTTGAACATGTCAAAACTACTGTTGATTACAAGTATTATGGTTTAAACTTCGAAGGTATTATGGTTAACTCATGAGTAGCTTTGGTTACCATTACAAGTTGTTGATTTTCAATTACTTGCTGTTTTGTTCTGTGTCACTATATCAGAAAATCACACTTAGCAGTTCTTTTGTAGTTACGACTCTTATCAATGTGTAAAATTCCTCAAGTGCAATCAGTAATTCACAACAACAGTACTTCAAAACAAGAACTGAAAAAGATTTAGGCGTTGTGGTTCATAAATTACTACTAAACCTGTAAGACAGCCAAATAAATAGCATTCATCTGACAGAGAACATACAGAGCCGTTTTGTATTAGATGATTTAACCCCATTCATGACATAACTTATCGGTATTCTTCCATTTCTGAATTTCCTAAAAGAAAGTCAGAAACTTGATTTAATTAAGAAACTCCTTTACTAATGCTCGCTTTGTTCATTCCATAGATTGTTTATGGTCTAAGGAAACAAATTGAGAACATCATTTGTTTAGATCTACTTCTAAACAAAACAGACTCAAAATTAATAATTACAAATGCAAAAGCAGGTGAAAACAGGTGAAGAAAACTAATTATCTCTTTATTTTTCTTATAGTGAAGATAGAGTGAGAAAAAATATAAAGGGACAACCATGTTTACCTTTTCACATTGGTCACTACATGACCAGTGATCAGAAGCCACTCACATTGTTTACCTTTCTTTGGTTCTTTTATTAATTAATTAACTTTTCTTTATTGTCTTTTTCAACTTTATTGTCTTAATTTTCTTTCCCTCCCTGCTTCCTGTTTCTTCTCTTTCCCTTTTCTTCTTTCTCCCCCGATTCCCCCCTTTCTTCCCCCCCTCGACTCCCCCCTTTCTTCCCCCCCTCGACTCCCCCCTATACTGCTTCTGCCCCCCCCCTACCCCCCCCACGGGGGGTTTGGCGCCACGCGGCGCCACGGAGGCAGCATAACGCCACCCCGGGCGGCCCAGGACGGCATGGAGGCAGCATAACGCCCCCACCGCCCTAAGCCTAACCTAAAGCTAAACCTAAGCTAGCCTAAACTAAGCCTAAGCCTAAACTAACCTAAGCCTAGCCCTAACTACCTACCTAACCTAAGCCTAATGGCGCCCAAAGAGGGAGCCGGGGCCGGCCCCAAAGGGTGGCCAGCCCAACCCAGCGGGACTTGGTCAGTCCCAAAGGGCGAGTATGTCTGCAACTGTACCTGTTTATTTATAGACCCAGTCAGGAGTCGCTCAGCCTTCCGGCGTCGGTGTGGGAACTGATTTTTTAATTAGTGAATGGAATGCTTACGTTTCTCTTCTTCCTTCTCTGGCTTCTCTGGCTTGGTCGGTGTGGGAACTGATTTTGATTAGTGAATGGAATGCTTACTTTCTCCATTTCTCTGTCTTGGCTTCCTTCACCAACAGCTCAGCCTCAGCTCCTTCACCAAGCCCGACGCCGCTAGGATAAGCCGCCGCCGGATTCCCTTTTGCGTTTGTCCATCGGAACCAGGGCTGTTCAGCTCCTCTTTCATCTGCCTCGCTTCACAGTGCTCCGTCACCTAGAATGTCTCACTCAACTGAGGAGGCTCAGAGGATGCTAAATACCTGCACCGGTAAAAATATTAAACATTTTATTAAACATATAAAATTATAGAGCTGGAACTGGGGCTGACCATATCCGTTTTTTCTGGATTTTGATCCGGTTCTGCTTGGAATCAATGGAAAGAATTATTACCAAACAAAACTCATACTCCCTCTGTCTCATACTTTTTTGTCGAGATAAGGGTCAGATTGGTACTCAAAGTTGCATAAAAAGGGTCAAATAAGTCCTTATATAGGAGGCTCTGTCTGGCCGTCGTCATTTGGGGTGGTTCTCGGTGGAATTTTTTGACGAAATTTTTTGAGCATCTTATTCATTAAGTCGAGTTTACTCATACCAAATGTCAGCTAAAAATTCAACCGGGAAGGCATTCAAATGAATTCTTGAAGATATCTGCGCAGTTAAAAGCGCAGTTATCTTCAAGAATTCATTTGAATGCCTTCCCGATTGAAGTTTTAGCTGAAATTTGGTATGAGTAAACTAGACTTGATGAATAAGATGCTAAAAAAAAATTATCAAAAAAATCCACCGGACAGTAAAGACTTATTTGATCCTTTTTATGCAACTTCGAGTACCAATCTGACTCTTACCTCCTTTTTTGTCTGTCCCAGAAGTAATTATCTTCGTTCTTTCCTTTTTTGTCTGTCCCAGATTTATCTCCTCTTTCTCTTTTTAGCAAAGGATTTGTGGTTCACAATCGTTCTTACACATTTCTCTCTCCTCTGCACAACTCTCCACCACACATTTCTCACTTTCTTAATCTATGTGCCCAGTCAAAACCGAAGTTAATTCTGGGACGGAGGGAGTACGATTTTTTTGTTTGGTTCGGTTTGGATTTGTTGAATTTTAATAATATATGAAGGTTTTTTTGAATTTCTTTAGTTCGTTTCGGTTTAATATGGTTTGGAAGAAATAGTATCAAACTCAAACCAAATTGCATACGGTCCGATTTCGGTTAGGTTTACTTCGGTATGGTTCGGTTCAGGTGAACCAAACCGTTACGCCCACCCCTTGTTGGAACATTTAACACTTTGATCAATTCCCCATACCTTCTTTATAATTTGAGAAATGCTAGTATAGTACCCGATCATATGCACGGGATAGAGCAGTATGCTGGAAAGATAGTGAAATAATGTGATGGAATGTAGAATAAATCTAAAAAAAAGTAGTTGTAATAATGTATTGTTTTAAGAATTGATGTATGATGGGAAAATTTAGAAATGAGAAGATTTTTTTGCTACGGACGAAAAAGGAAAGTGAAAAGATATTTTTGTTACGGACGAAGTACTTTAAAACACTATATATGAGAGGGAAAATTATTCCGCTCAATTGTTAGCCGACTTGTCTTATAGCTATAAACATTATATACGGAGTATAAGAGAGAAAACTACATCACATCCTCCACAAATGTGTAATGATTCACCTAATAACAATTTTGTTTCACCGTCTTCCACATTTTCATTACTTAATTAAATAATTCCATTTTGATTAACTTGTTGTCCTTCAATCTAACATAACTTTCCACCATTAGATTGTTAGTTCTTTGAGTTTTTTTCATACAGAGTATATCTTTTCGATTGCAAGAACTTCTACTATGCAGGTTTATTATCATGAATAGTGTGAACTTTTTTACGACTATCGTGTCCGCAGGTCGCCGGCGCAGGGGGGGTGCGAATTTTCGATTCTGAACTGAAAGCCGGAATTCTTGTGTGCGCGAGAGCTCACTTTCCACCTTTGCACCACTCCTCTCTTAGAATTAAAAGGTGAAGGAGAATAGGGGAGCTCTCGCGCACACAAGAATTCCGGCTTTCAGTTCAGAATCGAAAATTCGCACCCCCCCTGCGCGGGCGACCTGCGGACACGATAGTCGTAGAATTCAACGGGTTTCAAAAGACAATTTTGCCCCCCCCCCCCTTTTTTTTAAGTTTAACCGGGTTTTTTAATTTATGGGTAAGTCGCCAAACCGTTGGGCGACTTATAAGTCGCCATCCGGTTGGGCGACTTATAAGTCGCCAAACGGTTTGGCGACTTTCCCCGACCAGGGTTAAGCCCAGCAGTATATCTGTAAATACTTTTAACCCGACCTTATTTTCGTAAATACTTAATTAATTAGCATTAATACGGAAAAAAACTCGATTTTGATCCGGTTCTGCTTGGAATCAATTGAAAGAATTATTACCAAACAAAACTCGTACTATTTTTTTGTTTGGTTCGGTTTGGATTTGTTAAATTTTAATAATACATGAAAGTTTTTTTGAATTTCTTTAGTTCGATTCAGTTTAATACGGTTCGGTTTACTTCGGTACGGTTCGGTTCAGGTGAACCAAACCGTTATGCTCACCCCTTGTTGGAACATCTAACACTTTGATCAATTCCACATACCTAGGGGTGGTTTCGGTTCTTTCGGTTCGGTTTTGACCTAAAACCAAATACGGAACCAAAGTAAAAGTTCGGTTCGGTTTCGGTTCGGTTGTACACTCCAAAACTTGGAACCACGGTTTGATTGGCTCAGTTTGTTTCGGTTCGGTTTCGGTTTTTTAATAAAAAATTATCATTTGATTTAAAATTGATATAAAAGTTTGAAGGATCAAACATATTACATAAAAATGCAAGCATACTTGAAGAAATAAAGAAAATAATAATAAACAAATATGTCTTGAATTATATTAATATGCGGGAGAGATAAAAGTGTGTATCTATTTTTAATTTACATTGTTTGTGACTAGTTTCAAAAAAGTTTATGAATACATACGTCCTATGTGATATAGCTGAGATGAATGTTTATTTGTTTTATCAATATAAAAAATTTAAGTTACAAAAAAATCAAGTTACATAAAAATAAAAGTTAATTACCACTAATAACCAGTAAAAACATATAATCATGCAACAAATTACAACACACATAAAAGACATAATAGATTAATATAGCTACATTATTATGGGTAATGAATGTGTAAATGCATTTATAAACTAGACTAAACTAAAGATAGCACAAACATTATTTCCCTAGCACAAGAAATTTAAAGATTATTGATGATATTAAGATTAATGCTTGCATTCAACAAATACAATTTCATATTTTATTTTTGTTCGGTTTGTTCAGTTCGGTTCAGTTTTGAAGGGTAAAAACCAAAACCGAACCAAACCATACCTTCTTTCTAATTTGAGAAATATATATGTTTCACTCACTTTATCATTTAATTCCCATTTTAACAAAAGTACATTGATATTGTTATTTGAAGTTTTTACTAACTAGTGTGTCTACCCGTGCACCGCGCGGCGATAAGATATGTGTTTAAAACTTTTCTTAAATTTAAATTTATAGGTATCATCGATTGTATATGGATTCATCGATCGAAGATTTAAAGATAACTCAATTGACTATATATACACATGTCAAAATGAGTCGAACTCCGTCGGGCTTGCTCGTTTCATGGTGGATTGTATTTTAATATATCATGATTAACTCAGTGGTTTTGTGGGTCAACATGCACAGGTTGTGGTTTGAGTGTACAACTTGCGATTTGTTCAAAATACAAGCATATAGTTTTGACTTTCACTATCTTAATTATTGTTTGTTTACTACCAAAATTATTTGCTATTATATATTTATTGTTTAATAACTACATTCGTCAAACTACTATTTCTATGATAACCATAAAAATAAATTATTCGTACATATTTTTTATTTTGTAGTTGAAAATAACTTTTTCACAATTAGTAGTTATTGTTTACAAATATATACTAAAAAGGTCTAATTATAACCTTGCCACCTAATAGTTCTCTAATATTGGGGTAACTATGATTCAATAATATTTTTTACTTAAACTTTTCAACTATGGTGTGGTTACTATTCTAATTTCGTATACATCCTTTTATTAGTACTTACACAAATAGGATTTTTTTAAGAGGCTCAATAGGTTCTACAAAATAGATCCCTTGATTTATGGTCCCCAAGTTTTTAATAATTTATTAGTATTATATAGTGATATTATATATTAACATTAATTTGTATAATATAGTGAGTAAGAAAGAAAAACAGATCCATCATTTTTTTCTATCGCCCCCCAATTCTCTTTTTTTTTTTTCAAATTGCTTGAGTGATGAGTTGTGTTGCATTAAATCAAATATAAAGTAACTTTTAGAATTTTTTATTACATTATTTAATGAGTATTCAATTGATTTGAGTATAAGTACTTAGATTGATTTTTTTACATTAATTTGGGGCATCAAATTTACATTTGGAACCGTCGGGCTTGCTCGTTTCATGGTGGATTGTATTTTAATATAGCCTAATTAACTCAGTGGTTTTGTGAGTCAACATGCACAAGTTGTGGTTTGACCGTACAACTTGCGATTTGTTCAAAATATAAGCATCTAGTTTTGACTTTCACTATCTTAATTATTGTTTGTTTACTACCAAAATTATTTGTTATTACATATTGTTGAGTTTAATCCAACACGATATAGTAAATATATGTATAAATGTGTATGAACAACTCAGTTTTTACGTGGAAACCCGAAAGGGAGAAAACCACGGGACTTTTTAGGCTAATGTCCAAGCCCTCTCTTTCTCATTAGGACTCTCCTCACCATTACATTGTACAAGCTCCCATTAATGGAGTATTGAGCTAAGTCTAAAAGAAGAAGGAAGATGGAGCTAAAAGAGGATCCCCAAAACATGGAGGGAAGCCTCCTATTTATAGGGGAAAGGGGAAGGGTGCTCTCCACCCTAATGGGCCAAACGGGCCGATGCCGGGCCTAATGGCCAAAGTGGGCCAGAATGGGCCGAAATGGACCTAGCTGCTCGGGCTCCTGAACAGTAATAGGCCGGGATAATATATCCCAACACAAGTCCCCCAGTTTCTTGAGTAGTGAGCGTGCGAATCTGCTCGAGAAAGTATACTCTTGCCTGCGCTCCTCCTCTGTCTTGCTGGAAACTGTGTCTTCGAATAATCATAATATATGAGTGGGTGTCT